GAAGCTCAATCCAGACAAGACAGAGGTCCTGTTGGTCGGCGGATCGAGCTTCGGTGAGGGTGAATTGAACCTAGTCCTGAATGGGGTTGCACTCCCTCCTAGGGACAAGGTCCGCAGCTTGGGAGTGCTCCTCGATCCAGAGCTTTCACTGGAAGCTCAGGTGACAGAAGTGGCGAGGAGCGCTTTCTTTCAGCTTCGGCTGATCCATCAGCTGCGCCCCTACCTGGAGTACGACTGCCTGGTGGCAGTGACACACGCATTGGTGACTTCCCGACTTGACTTCTGTAACACGCTGTACGTGGGGCTACCCTTGAAGACAGTCCGGATACTTCAATTGGTTCAAAATAGAGCTGCCAGGCTGCTGACAGGGACTGGGCATTATGTTCACATGACTCCAGTCCTCCATCAGCTTCACTGGCTTCCCATTGAAGTCCGGGCCCAATTCAAGGTGTTGGTGACGACCTATAAAGCCCTAAACAGCTTGGGTCCTGGTTACCTGAAGGAGCACTTACGTCCATATATGCCCACCTACCCCCTGAGATCAGCGGGAGAGGCCCTTCTCCGGGAACCCTCCATGAAGGAAATTAGGAGGGTGAGTACTTGGAGGAGGGCTTTCTCTGCGGTGGCTCCCAATCTATGGAATGCGCTCCCCAGAGAGGTCCACCTGGCATCTTTGTTATTTGTTTTTCGGCGCCAGGCAAAGACCTTTTTATTCAAATGTCATTTTAACTGTTAATAGTATTTATTTATTTTATTCTTTGGCCAGGGTGACTTACTTTATACTGTTAGTTTATATTATTTTAATTGAAGTTATTTATGTTAGCCGCCCCGAGGCTTCGGCGAATGGGACGGCATAGAAATTTTCTAAATAAATAAATAACAGATCCTTCTTTTGACAGTCTTTCAAGTAATTATAGAGTGGTGTGATATCTCCTCTCAGTTCCTCCTCTTGAGACTAAACATGTCCAGTTCTTTTAATCTCTCCTGCCTGGGCTTTGTGTCCACTCTCTGGATCATCCTTGTTATCCTTCTCTGAACACTTTCCAAATACAGTGGTACCTTGGTTCACGAACTTAATCAGTTTCATGACTCTGGTCGCGACCCAAATTGGTCGTGAGCCAAGTCAAATTTCCTCAATGCAGAGTTTGCGACCTGAGACAAAATTTTTCTGAAATTTCTGTTTGCAACCCGATTTGGTCATCAACTGAGGCATTCGTGAGCCAAGATACTGCTGTAGTCTGCATTTTCTAAACTCTGGTGTCCACATGAGGCCAAAAGAGGAACTAGTACTTCAGAAGTTGTTCTTAAGATCTTATTAGTCTCCAGTAAATTATCTCTAATAAGGAATATCCCAATATATGATAGGCCTTCCTGTTGTGGTGGAAAATCCGGGCTGTTCTGGATTTTTTGGACCCTAGCATCAGCTCTGATATCCTGAACAGACAAGCGGTAGACTTGAGCAGCTATAATCAAATCGAACAATCACTAGTCAGTTAAGGCTAGATTTAAATGATGGTTTCCTGCATAATTTGCATATATGCCTGCCTAACCTGTAGGTAGAGGAACTTAATTGAAATATTTCCAAACTGGATCTCTTCTACACCTGTTGCCATTATAAGTTTTCTCCAGGGAAAGAATAATATGATAAATCTCAGTCTATACACAAAAAGATCAAAAACTTGAGTATTCTGCTCAAAAGATTTCACTTTCATTTTTACTGCTTGCGCTTCCCTCCTCACACTTAGCTTCTTGTGCAGATCTATTCCACTCCTGGCAATCTGCTTCTTTTTCATTGAATTTTTTGAGACTTGGCACTTAAGAGGTAAGGGTTGATTCTGTGTACATAGATTTGCAAAGGAACAATGGGATTAAGGTATTTTTCTCAAGTTTGTGTGTTTATTTTATAACATTTTTGCTGTGAAAAGGAGGATTATATTCTCTGCAGGCACAAATCCCCAGAGTTGAGAATTGTAAAACCAAGCATCTGTGATAATCTAGATAGAAAAATTGTCCCTTATAGAAACCTCTGAAAGGACATAACAATGTGAATGAATTAATTGACTTCATTTACCCAACAATTTAGACATTGCATAAATATACTGCCTCATGCTACATAAATAAAAACTAAACCTTATTTCATGATGAATAACCTTTGGAGTATAATGGCTCTTAAATAGAAAACTATATTTAGATAGATGTTTCCTCAATAAGCATTTTAATCTTTAAAAAATTGATTTAAATTTTTAAAATCCAATTTAAATTAGAATCATTGGTTTTTATCCACCCTACTTTAATGCTCAACCCATCCATGCATATACTGGTTTTCAAAAGGGGCGGAACTCCTTTGTGGTCCATAAATTTCTCTTGTAGAACCTGAACTGTCTTATAGGTATACCCTTCAAACCTGTAGGAAATTGGTCTGAAAATTCTCACTTTCAAACTTAGTGGCTATGACTTCAGCATGTATGGTATCTGAACTGGTTGCCCTGTGTTCCAGCCTGTTGGTTCATGAAGGCAGAATTGTTCTTTATCCAAACCTGACTTTCATTCCTAAAATAAATTCTCTTTTTGACACGATTCAAGAGGTAATACTGCTTTCATTGTGCCATGTAATAATTGTTATTCATTCTCATACATTGCTATGAGTTACATGAAATGTATGTTACACAAACACTGCATTTTTATTTGGCTAGAACAGCTCCATATAATGTAATAAAATCTTTATCTGCATTCTTAGAGAAACTTCCTTGGGGAAGAGGGTGGCCAGGTCATCTTATTTCCAAGTGGCAGCAGTAGTGCATTGAATGTAGTGCCAGCCTTCCCAAGGAGAGGTAGTGCATTGAATTGAAAGGAGGGAGCTCCTCACTGAGTCTGGGAGAGTTCATTTCTGTAAGAAATTCACAGAGCAGCTATGTGGACATAGGTTCATGCATTCACACCGTGCATTTTTTATTTCAAAGGACTTTTGGAATTCTCTGCTTTTCTAGTACTAGTCTGGAGATCTGGACCCCCCCCCCAACCAGAAGAGACTGGCAGAACATGGGCCATGTATACTGACTGCAGAAGCAGAGCTCTCCCTAAGAATAGATGTGCTCCAAGAGTCCTAGAAACAGACATTCCCAGTTAAGACTTCTTTCCCTCAAGCCCAGAACACAACAGTGCCCTTCATTTTATTGACTTCTGGCACGGTGAATCGTTCTAATACCTTCTCTTTCACTCTCATCTTGTGCTTGCTATTGCTAATGAACTCTAGTTACTTGGAAGGGGGAAAAGAAATGTGCAATTGGAAGAAACATGTTAATATTCATAGAAGAGATGAATTAAGAGAGGAATGATTTTTTATTTATACCAATTTGTACTTGCTATCTGTTGCAAGTGATACGACTTTTTCAATCCTATTTCTTTAATAAATCTTATCTTTTCAAGATCTGCAAAGAGATTGCTTGACCAGATTGTTGAAAAAGGAAGGCCTACACCAGGATTTCATCATGGTGATGGTCCAGGAAATGCAGTCCAGGAAATTATGATACCAGCCAGCAAAGCAGGATTGGTTATTGGAAAAGGTGGAGAGACAATAAAGCAACTTCAGGTAAGCTAATGGGTTTTTATTGAGTAAATGCTTGAAAATTCTAAATATGTGTGATCTACACAGGTTAATTTTTGTTAAATAGGAACGTGCAGGTGTTAAGATGGTAATGATTCAAGATGGACCACAGAACACTGGAGCAGACAAACCTCTTAGGATCACAGGAGATCCTTACAAAGTTCAAGTAAGAAGAGATTTTCAAACTTGAAAAAATACAAGTTCTTCTATTTGATGTAATTTCAAGATTACAACTGCTAAATTGTACGTACTTTTTTTTTTTTTTTTTAGCAAGCCAAGGAAATGGTGTTAGACCTGATTCGTGATCAAGGTGGTTTTAGAGAGGTGCGCAATGAATATGGGTCAAGAATAGGAGGCAACGAAGGGCTAGATGTGAGTATAGTAACACTTTCTGCAATGTGCCTTTTAGGGCCTGTTGTATAGTACTTAGCAAAGAAGAAAGGTCTCAGAATATCATACAATTTTATCAAGAACTGAAAATACTAATATTTGTAAAAACATTGCTGTAATTTAAAACATATTAGTTAGATGAAGTTGATCTTTACATATTTATAAAGATTCAGATGAAATGTTTAGAACTGTTAACTATCCTGCTTTTATCTTAGGGGAGCATTTTCCTTTCCACTTTTATGTAGCTTGCTTGTCCTGAGATGTGTTAAAATAGTGATGTGGATTATGTAAAACTGCAACTGAAAGTGGGGTAGGTTAGTAACATTAATTGAACAGTGTTTTTGAAAGATGTTTTGTTTCTTGAGGTCCCAATACCTCGTTTTGCTGTTGGTATTGTAATTGGAAGAAATGGAGAAATGATAAAAAAGATACAGAACGATGCTGGTGTGAGGATCCAGTTTAAACCAGGTAGATTGCCAATAAGATTACAATTTTCTCCCTATGATTTGTAAGTAAAACTTATTTAAATAGCCTATCTCTCTTCTAGATGATGGAACAACTCCAGACAGAATAGCCCAGATCACAGGACCTCCAGACAGATGCCAGCATGCAGCAGAAATTATTACAGATCTTCTCCGAAGTGTCCAGGTTGGTTGCTAGGAATGATTTCAGGCAAATGGAATGAATATGTTCAATCTGTTTGCTTGTGGTTTCTAATTAATAATATTTGTGTGATTTATGCACATTTTGAGTTAACGAAATCATAAAATAGTTTTTGTACTTGCAATAGTAGTTCTTTGTCGTGGCCTCTGTGCATCACACACATGGGTGCTGCGCCTGCGCAGTGCCTAGGCCGGAAAGATTGAAAGCTAACGGTTTTGGCAGGAAAACTCCGCTCCCGTCCCCCTTGGTAATATATATAGAGCAGAGTGTCCGCCATTTTCTCCAGTCTTTTGCAACCGCCGTTTGCTGTGCCTCATGCCTGTTCGTCTCTCGCTCGACTCAGTATTTGTTCGTTATTTCTGTTGTTCTAATATTCTTGTTGTTCTTGCTGTTATTCCAAGTTATTATCCCCTTGTTATAGCTTTATCTCTCTTTTCTTCGTTCCTATTAAAATATACATACATACATACACATATATATAAAACCTTTCTCTCTTTCCTGTATTCTAATTCTTCTTTTTCTGCGATGCCGCAGCAGGTGGCCTTCCACAAATGTGCAGAATGTGGGTCCAAAATGTCCCTGGCAGACCCTCACCACTTGTGCCTCCTTTGCCTCGGCGAGGGGCAGAGGACGGATAAATGCCGCCATTGCCTTGCTTTTACTAAGCAAGCACAAAAAAATAGGGAGAATTGCTTGCGAAAACTCCTATGGGACCAAGCGCTGATGCAATAAGATCAGCCTGCGGTAAAACCCGGGCCAGCACATGCTCCATCTGCTAAGCTCAAGGCCATAACTTTGACCGCATAGGCTCAATGTCCAACCTCTGCCTCGGGCATGCCCGGGCAACACCCTTCGCTCACGCTGCCCATGCCTCAGCCTTATCCATCAGATGATGGAAATTCCCCCTCCGGGGCTCAGCAATCTTTTTCTACCCCGCATAAACAATGGGAAAAGAGGAAGCACAGAGGGTTGGATCACTCTTCGGCCTATAAGAAGGCGAAGAAAGACAAGGCGGCAAAATCGCCCCATAAGAAGAGGCATAGGGATTTGGGTTCGACAGCACCATTGATCCCGGCGGCAGCTTCGGTACCAGCACCATCGATACCAATGCTTCAAGCAGCGATGCAGGTTACCCCACCAGGGTCTCCAGTACAACCTGCCCCCCAACAGGTCCTACCTACTCAGTTGCCTGAGGGGCCGCATCGCGAGTCGATCTCCGATGGGGAGATTGAAGACTCCCAGGGCTCATTCTCCGACTCCTGTGCCCACGGTGAGAGCTCAAGACCAATCTCCAACCTCACCACCACCTCGGTCCCGGGTGGATGAAAAGCAGGAAGAAGGATGGTTCCAGCCCTACTACAGTTATCCGTCGGGCTAGGAGGACTACCACTCCTTTGGATTTCGTCCTCACCAACAGGACTATTCCTCGCCGTCCGCCCTTGAGGACATGCCATCCACCTTGAGGTGGGTTGAACCTGAATGTCCCACTTCACCAGGGACTTCCTTGTCGGAGCCGTATCACCTCAGGCCCGACTCAGATGCAGACTCCACCTCCCCGGATGTCCTTATTACATCTCAGGGACCATTATCGCCTGAAGAGCCCCACATCTCGTTCGGAGAGCTCATGTCTAGACTTGTTCAGTCGCTCGAGATCGAGGCGCAACACTAGCCAGATCCGAGCACCAACAAGTTCTATGACATTGTCAGGGGAGAGCAATCACCTGCAATTGTCTTGCCGCTTATTACAACCTTGTGGCAGGCGATGACTCAGCCTTGGGACTTGCCTTCGCCAGTTCAGCCCATAGTGAGAAGATACGAATCCATGTATCGAGTCCGGGAGAGTGACATACCCTTTTTACTCCATCACCCTAAGCTGAATTCCTTGGTGGTTGAATCATCCCAGGGCAGGGAAGCCAGGGGAAATACCACCCCCCGAGACACGGAGGGCCGTAAGATTGATACCCTGGTGCACAGGGTCTATGCGGCTGCAGGACTTGGGTTTCGCATGTCTAACTATGAAGCCACCCCGGCCAGGTTTCAATTCTTTATTATGCAGAGGCTGAATAACATCATTGCTCCCCTGCCTGCGCAACAACGGGATTTGGCTAGGACTTTCATCAAAGAGGGTATGCAAGTCGCTATACAACAATTATCCACAGCACGTCGTCATGTGGATACAGATTCGAGGGCTCTCGTTGGGGCCGTCTCACTGCGAAGGCATGCCTGGTTGCGGAATTGCATTTTTCCTGACGAGATGAAGCGGCGAATAGAAGAAATGCCTTTGACAGCTCTGGGCTCTTTCATTCATGCACCGACCATAAGCTCAAGTCCATCCATGAGTCCTGCATGACGGCAAGACAGATGGAATTGCCCAGACAGCAAAAACATAAGTGGTCATGGTCGCGCCCATCCTACCACTACCAGCCGTCGCAGAGACAGTACCAACAACAGCCGCAATGCAGAAGGCAACAACCCCATCAGCGTTTCCCACAGAACCACTGGCATTTCGATACGGAGAAGGGCTTCGATCTCAAGGCATGTGGAACCGGCAAGAGTCATTGAGTCACATAAATTGCCTCGAGCTTCTAGCGATCTTCCAAGGCACTTCGGTCCTTTGAGGAAGTTGTCCACCACCAAGTGATACAGCTCACGGCCAACAGTATAGTGGCGGTATTCTATATCAACAAACAGGGCGGAACAAAGTCCACTTCCCTGGCCCACCTGTCCATGGACATTTGGGAATGGTGCATCCCGAGAGGTATAACCCTTTTGGCGGTCCATCTTGCTGGGACCGACAATGAGGAAGCAGACACCCTGAACAGACGCATGTCGTTCATCCACGAATGGGAACTGAATCATCAAGTCTGCATACAGTTATTCCAACTTTGGGGACATTCAGTCATAGACCTATTTGCTACCCACAAGAACAGGGTGTGCAAAAGATTCTGCTCCAGGGCAGGAATAGGACCGGGATCGATGGGACAAATTTATGATCCCCTGGACAAATTTCAGGTTTTACACATTCCCACCTCTTCCTCTACTGACAAAAGTCATATCGAAGATTGTGCACGACGATGCCACAGGAATACTCATAACGCCTTGGTGGCCTTGTCAAGCATGGTTTTCCACCCTCCTTCGGATCTCTAACGGCAATTTCCTTCGTCTTCCGTCCAGGCAAGATCTACTAACTCAACAAAAAGGCACTGTCCGTCACCCGGACCTGTCCTCATTGAACCTCACTGCGTGGAGAATTCATTGACTCAAGACAGTGTTTCGGGACAGAGATCTACTAGGTCACTTGGTACCTCAACTCACAACCGATCTGACCCCCTCACTGACTCAGTACCAACGGGGATATTGTCAGGACTGACCTCTTTAGATCCAGACATTTTAAGGATTCTCGAGTCTGCACTAAGGCCATCAACTCGGAAATCCTACACAGTGAAGTGGCGCCGCTTCTCATCTTTTGCGGAATCACGCTCGTTCAATCCGATTACAGCTTCGGTAGAGAATATTCTCCAGTTTCTACTGCAACTGCATTGTTCGGGGCTAAAACCTTCCTCAATTGAGGTCTATGCAGCTGCCCTGTCACATTATCGGGGTACGGTACAAGGATTGTCAGTGTTTTCACAACCGCTTGTTCGAAAATTTCTCAAAGGACTGCAAAATCTTCATCCTTCTATTCGGCCGGTTATGCCCACATGGAGTCTTTCGGTTGTCCTTCAGGCACTTACAAGACCACCGTTTGAGCCCCTAGCGACTGTCGATATGCGTCTTGTATCATGGAAGATGGCCTTCCTTGTTGCAGTTACATCAGCTTGTAGAGCCAGTGAACTTTGTGCTCTTCAAATTTATCCGCCTTATCTCAACTTCCGTAAGGAAAAGGTGGTTCTAAGGATGGATCCGTCGTCTTTGCCTAAAGTTGCCGCGCTGTTCCACCTGAATCAAGATACTGTGTTGCCTGCCTTCTTTCCGTCGCCGTCGAACCCGATCGAAAGGTCCTTGCATACCTTGGATGTACGACGATGCTTGGCTTTCTATAGATCATGCACAGAGTCTCTTAGATGCTCTTATAGACTTTTTGTAAAGTACTCTCAACGGGACCAAGGATCACCTGTTTCATCTCAGAGACTGTCGAAGTGGATTGTTCAAACCATTTCGTTAGCGTACCAGCTTGCAAAGATGGACTTACCTGTTGTTCCAATGTGTCATTCCACTAGAGCGGTGGTGGCTTCCTCCACGTTTGCCGCGGGTGCCCTGATCCAGGAAGTCTGCAAGGCTGCAACTTGGGCTACTGCAACTTTTAATTCTTTAAATCTATTTGTCACCTTTATAGCAATATTAAGCAAGAGTCCAACCAATTTTGAGGGAGTACTTCCATCCTTAAAATGTCATGTTGAAGAGGTATTTGTATGTTGGGTTGTTTAGGCTAAGCTGAACTTTTTCTAAGAGTTACACCATTTGTTCATGGTCATTTGGAAAACAAATGCTTTGCAAATTCTGAGCCTTAAACAGTGAGTGTTTTAGCCACTTCCTCTGCCAGCAGTAGTGCTGATATTTGCTAGCATATATGAAATGGTTGCTGAACAACAAAACCCATGGAGAAGTAGCGCTTGTGCTAACTGGCTTCAAGCTTTAACTCACATGATTGAATGGTCTTTTATTTCCCCCCTCCCCCCAAAAAAAGTGATAGAAAACTGGCACATAGGAAAGAATGCAAAGTGAGAATTCTGCTCTGTAATATCCATTTTTAAATGTAGAGGGTATCTTTTGTTTGAAGATGTGCTAGCTTACACAAGCCCCAACTGCAGTCTGAAAAGTAGCTTACCAGGTCAATGAAGGGCAAACTAATGTGAGGCAACACATGTGCTGAACTATAAGGTTTGAAAAAAATGAGGGGGCGGAACCTTTTTTCATATTTTACCTCTCTTTAGAGCCTTGTACTTATGAAGCTTGCTTCTGGTATCAAAAGGGCAAGAAGAAGGTTTGACAGATGCTGTGTCTTCTGCAGAAGAACAACCTGCCTTGTTGTGTCCGTTGTGTTTAGTGCCATATGAATCAAGTTTCCAAATGTTGGTAGAGGGCAATATAAAGCATTGTTTTTCTTCAGATTGTAGTAATTTTTAACACTTGCTAATTGTGCTTTTCTCCTCAATCTAGGCTGGCAATCCTGGTGGTCCAGGGCCTGGTGGTCGTGGCAGAGGTAGAGGCCAAGGCAATTGGAATATGGGGCCACCTGGTGGATTACAAGAATTTAATTTTATTGTACCCACTGGAAAAACTGGATTAATTATTGGGAAAGGTAATAAACCTGATTTGTGTAGTAAGATGACTTATGTGATCTACCTTGAACTTCTACGTAAGAAATAGTGTTTCTTCTATTTAGTAGTTACTGTGGATTAAATCCTACTATTACTTAAGAGGCAGGAACCATATGATACAGGTTTTTTTCTATTGTTGTTTTCCTCTACAAGCCCTTCCTCATATGTGGTGTGTGACCCAGCTTGTAGAGAGCCTCTAAAAAAGACTTGTAATGGTGATTTTCACTCAAAGAAACTAAAGCCCAGTCTGTTCCTGCCTTCACTTAGAGCAGAAAGTAGTGATTACCTCTCCTGCCACTCTGCTTAGCTCCGTTCCTTTTATCTCCCATCTCCCCTTTCTCTCATTCCTTGTTCTTGTCTTTCTCAAAGCTTCATTTTCCCCTTTACTTAATAACAGAAAACTTTGCCACTCTTGAGCTTTAATTGCTGATATACCTTATATTCACTCCTTCTCTTAACTCATTGGCTCCAAGGAGGAAATGGAGCAGCCTGCCTCCAAAATGCCGGAGAATCAAGCATACATATGAATACATTCATAGAAGTGAAAGACATTCTGCTGTGAGAGAAACTGAGATCCTACACCATTCCCTCATGAGCTCTGATCTTACCCAGATAAACCCAGCTTTTTCAACATTAGTCCCCAGTAAATCTCTGTCATATTGTCCTTTGTGAGATGATGAAGGCTTTGTTGCCAATTCTGAAAACAGAATTAATCTTAAGAGTCATCTTACTGGAAAAACAGTGGCATTTTTTTTCTTTTGAAACTTAACATGATTTTATAACAGCATCCCAACTTAGAATGAAACAGGAACCATTTAGAGCTATGCAACATTCTGTCTGGCTCAGAGTTCTGTAGCTTATGTTGTATCAGCTTGAGCTCAAGAAGCCACCCAAGCCTAGGTAAAGATTTTTCCGAACAGATTAACAGCACGCTCATCTGAATTTCCTACCTGTCTTTTTCCAAAAGGAATTTGTCCAAAAAATAAAAAGAGTTGTTGCTTCTGATATTTGTAGAAAGCTAAGGAAAATGCCAAGCACACACAGAAGGAGCAAGCTTGTTTCTTCTGTCTCTCATACCCTGAATAAGAAAAGGGAAGAACCTTGGAAGCCTTTCAAAAGCATTAACAATCTATTCTTCATCCCATTAATTTGTTAAAATAATTCAGATATGACTTTATATATCCTTCCCTGGGGGAGATGCCTCCCAAATCTCAAAATCTGCCTTTACAAATTTTGTTTAGTGAATGTAGTAGTGACTGAGATATAACTAATCAGAACCTACCCTAATACCTTCCATTGTTCCAACATGTTGGGATTTTCAAACTGAAGTCAATTTCTTTATGCCCAAGGCCATTTCCACCCAGCTCAAGGAGAACAAGCCAGTGGAAGAAAGTTTCCAACCCTTCCTACTTTCCTAGGATTGTTCCATGTCAGATATATGGGAGTTAGGAATCCAGACAGCCTGTTAAAGATGCCATGAAACAAATATCTATCCATCTCTTGATTCCCTCACCAAAGCAATGACTTACGGAGGAATTTCAGATAAGTGTGACAGTAGCAATCTCCTACACCAAACATTGTGTATTTTCTACATGGTCCCAAAAGTCTGATATGTATCTATAAGCATTAAGCTAGCTATTTCAAAATGGACTTCTTGGTATAACTTGCAACATCCTTCTGACCACCACCATGGTCACCAATAGAACTTACAAAACTTATAAATCTTTTCTTAAATGGTGCAGGAAGAAGGGACTGGATCACAAAACACCCAAACATTTTAAAATTCCTAGATTTCTGCAAGCAGAACTGAAGCTGGGTTTCAGGTCTAATACCTTAAAGCACTAGGGCTCTGCCTGTTCCTCTGTACTTTGCAAATTGGGCAACTGACTGTTCTGATACCATCTCCCTCCAAATCCATTTTCCCTGACTTCTTTGCAGCAATGTAGTCTTTCTAATTGCCATCACATTAGGCAAGAGAGTATCATAACAGTTTATAGAATCCCTGCATCTGCTTCAAAGGTGGGGCAATATTCAGAACAGACCATTCTGAAATCAATTTTTCTTAGATCCCAGGTATGGATCTTTACGTCCTTTTGTCCAAACCTGAGCTACCCTTTGGAATGCACAAAGCACAAGCTAGATGGCTGGGTGACCTTCAAAACACATTTGAGAGTGTTTATTGGCCTCCTTCCATCCCATCACCCTGGGCCAGGATGTGCCAAATTCTATACTAGCCTTTTAGAGTAAAGAACTGTATTACTTGCTTGCAGATCTCAGTCACTCACTCAAACCAGAACAGTTACTAGTCTACATTTTTCCATAAATGCAACCATTGTTTTGCATTATTTTATTTTTTACCATTTTATGGTTATTTTTTTAGAATAACCATGTTGTCCTCTACAAACACCTTCACAAAGCATAGCAGAGTGACATTCCTTTCTCTGCTGATCTTACTTATTTTCTATACCACCCAATAGCCAGTTCACAAGAGCTAAAACCATAAAACACAATGATATGGCACAGTATAAATCCTTTCAATATTTAAAAATAGAGCACAAAACCAAAGTAAAAACCTGAGGTGGCCTTTGGAAGGAAATTATTCCAACACATAATTCTCCTAGGGCAGCCACCTTACCCATCTATGATGTTACATAACTATTCTACTTCCTTTTGCTGGATGTCTCTATGTTAAATGGAAGAATGGAGCATTAATACTCATCAAGAAAGTTCATCATTTGACAAATGAATCTTTTTCCATGCATATTTTCTTTAAATATGCATAACCATTGAAGCTTTTTCTCTTCGGTTACAGACTGCCCCATGAAATGGATCTAAGGAAGGCCATAAAGCAAATAAAACATGATTAAATGAAGAAGGTACCCCCATAAATGCAATTCAAATATTGTAAAATTATTCACAAGGGTCCTAATCTGTTTTAACTATTAATTACTTTTCTTCAAAGGAGCAGGGACTTGTTTAACAAATATATTCTCAATTCCTTTTAAAAACATCTGTAGAATGGAGTGTTACAGTTTTTCCTTTTCTAATTTCAGGTGGTGAAACGATCAAGAGCATTAGCCAACAGTCTGGTGCTAGAATAGAACTTCAAAGAAATCCTCCACCAAATGCAGATCCTAACATGAAATTGTTCACTATTCGGGGAACTCCACAGCAGATTGATTATGCTCGACAGCTCATAGAAGAAAAGATTGGGGTGAGTGTTCTGGAAAGCCACCTTTACTCTGTGGGAGAGGGTGAAAACAGCTGCTCTGGTGGTCAGATAGGAAGGAAGCAGGGTTAAAATTGGATTTCTGAGTTGACACTGTCATTGGCAGGCTTGAACATAAGTATAAAAGTGTACTAGCCAATCTAGCTACATGCCAATGTGTATTACCTTAAAGAGTTGTTGTTAGTTGTGAAGTCGCATCCGATCCATCGCAACCACATGGACAACATTCTTCCAGGCCATGGGTCCTCAAACTACAGCCCGGGGGACATGCCATGCCCATGCACGCAACCATCACCCACCTCACCCCACGCGCGGGGAGGCAGCGATTTGCTCACTTGGAGAAAACTGTCTCCAAGTGAGCAAGCCATTGCCTCGTGTGCCCGCCTCATGGTGCGTACCTGCCCGTGCCTGTGGCCACACACGCCATGCCACCCCCGGCCCGGCCCGCGTGCACTGCCGGCACCACCTTTCCGTCCCGCACCCAGCACCAGCAGCTTTCAGCTGGCCCCCTGGTGTAAAAGTTTGAGGACCCCTACTCCAGGCCTTCCTGTCCTCCACCATCCCCCAGAGTCCACGTAAGCTCACACCAACTGCTTCAGTGACTCCATCTAGCCACCTCATCCTCTGCCGTCCCCTTCTTCTTCTGCTGTCAATTGTTCCCATCATTAGGTTCTTCTCCAGTGAGTCCTTCCTTCTCATTAGGTGGCCAAAGTATTTGAGTTTCATCTTCAGTATCTGGCCTTCTAAAGAGCAGTCAGGGTTGATCCTCCTCTAAGACTGACTGGTTTGATCTCCTTGCAGTCCAAGGGACTCGCAGGAGTCTTCTCCAGCACCACAATTCAAACGCCTCAGTTCTTTGGTACTCAGCCTTCCATATGGTCCAGCTTTCACAGCCATACATTGCAACTGGGAAAAGCATAGCCTTGACTATACGCACTATTGTTGGCAGGGTAATGTGTCTGCTTTTTAGTATGCTGTCTAGATTTGCCATAGCTTTCCTCCCAAGGAGCAACATCTTTTAATTTCTTGGCTGCAGTGCCCGTCTGTGGTGATCTTGGAGCCCAGGAAAATAAAATCTGTCACTACCTCCATTTCTTCCCCAAATATTTGCCAGGAAGTGATAGGATTGGATGCCATGATCTTAGTTGTCTTAATGTTGAGTTTCAAGTCAACTTTTGTGCTCTCCCCTTTCACCCGCAGCAAGAGGCTCTTTAGTTCCTCTTCACTTTCTGCCATGAGAGTGGTATCATCTGCATATCTGAGGTTGTTGATATTTCTCCTGACAATCTGAATTTCAACTTGTGATTCATCTAGCCCCACCTTTCTCATGATGAGCTCTGCGTATTAGTTAAATAGGCGGGGTGACAGTATACAGCCTTGTCGAACTCCTGAAAGAGTTGCCATTTGTCAAGTCAATTCCTGATTGAATGTAAACTGTTAGTAGTCAGTGTATTCATATCAGTTAGAGTACTCTTAGCGTATTGATTACAATGAGCAATTGCATTTGATGTATAGAAAACTCGTAGAAAAGTTAAAGTGGTAGCTGAAGCTTTCTGTAGAAATCCGGTAATGTTGTATGAGAAGATCATCGCTGATGTAGTGCTCCTTTCTTGGTACCACTCTAGATAAAGAGAACTTTAGTGGAGAAAAGGACTTTAGTCTGCCAGTGTGTCTGTGCTGCTGGCAGGAAGGCATAGTTCGATACAATTTCTGTGTTCCTAAGGGAACTGGCAGTACTAGTCTGAAGAAAGAGTTGGAAAATTAAACAAGATTGTTCTTGAAAGCAGTTAATGGAAGGCAGCTTGTATTTTACTTTATTACAGGGTCCAGTGAATCCTTTAGGTCCTCCTGTACCACATGGACCTCATGGTGTTGTTCCTGGGCCCCATGGGCCTCCAGGACCTCCTCCTGGAGCTCCAATGGGACCATATAATCCAGCTCCTTATACTCCTGGTCCTCCTGGTCCTGCACCTCAGTAAGTAACTCAACCTAGAAAAATAAGTTTTCAAAAGTTACAAACTTAACCCCAAAACTGAATCATTTGCATAGTGATACATGCATGAAGTTCAAAGCTACTAAAGAGGGGTAGGTTTTTCTTGTCAAATAGAGTTGAAGAACTCAATGGGATTAAAAGAAAACTCAATGGGAAAACAGTTGGGTCTTCTAATCTCAGTGTAACTCAGAGGCACACAAATAGGAAAATTACAGTGGCAGATATTTCCACTATTGGCGCTCTTTTGTGAATTCTAGTCAGGTAGTACAAAAAGCAAATTAGAGTTCAGGGGTTTTCATATAGCCTTCCTAGAAAAGAGAAAGGTAGAGAAGAGTTTATAACAAAATTATGCTCTTGGAACAGGCATATGCTTCAAGCTGTTATGTTAGTCTTACTGGGTGCATATAATAGGATAGCATTGAACTGACCATGCCCACAAGTTTAAAAAATGATTTTTAAAGGGATTGACTCCTTGCTGGAGAATATGCTGCAAATCTACACATCTGAGTCAGAATACAAGGCTGTGTTTTAGGCCATCTGGTCCCATTCATGGGAGAAACTGCTGAAGTGGCAACCAGATGAGATGTAGTTACTTTAGGTTTCTTATTTACAACTATTTTCCATTCTTATTTAATGATCTAATTGCATGTGGTTTTCTTTTTAGTGGGCCTCCAGCACCATATGCTCCCCAGGGATGGGGTAATGCTTATCCACACTGGCAGCCACCAAATCCCCCAGATCCTGGTAAGAAAGAACAGCTTTATTTAGAATTATACACTGTCTGTATATGTGTTCTATTTCAACATTATCTGTATCAGATTACAGTGTGCTACAAGTCAGGCAAAACAAACTGCTCATTAAATAGTTTGGAAGTCATCTAGACATTTTGGTACCAAAGTGCTCACATTTTTTCCATTAGTTTGATCTATCTTGTCTCACAGCAGTTCAACCTCCATCTTAAACATAAATGTAGATCTGTATTGTAATATTTTCAATATTTTACCTGAATTATTGGTGCCATATTTAGGTTTCCAAAATGAACCAATTCAGAATAATTGTTTATTGAACCTATTTTTCAGGGGGAGGTTGTTTTTGCCAGCATAAGGCTAGCCTGTTAAGGCAGCAATCCTATACACTTAGTAAGTCTCATTGAAAATAATAGGATTTATTTCTGTGTAGACATGTATAGGATTGCATGGTAAGTCCAAACTTTCACTTATCTAATAGCTTTTTAAAAATCAAACTGTGTGAATTAGTTAGCTTCTAGTAAATGTCATATGAAACCATCACTTTTTAATAAATACACTGCAGCTTGGGCACAGACACTGTGAAAAATGTAGTGGTATGATCTAATGGCTAGATTCTGCATCCATTTGTATCAAGCGTTCTTTCATATGGCATAAAACCTGCCTAGATTAAACATGCACGCTTAACTATATAGAAAGAATTAGGTGTAACACTTTAGATGGAGAAAATCTTTGGAAGGGTATGAACACCTTATCACTGTGGATGAGGACACTGTGCATGTATATTATTACTGGTAACTTGCTAATGTAGAAAAAGACAAACAGATTAACTCTCCTTACCCTAATGTAGTTTGGAGGACTGTGCTTTTGGGTAAATTTGGAGCAACTAAAGGTTAAGCAAATAGGAAAATTCCACATGTGTCATATGTGGGTGCTGTATATGTGACTTGAGTCACTTTTTCTGTAGAAAATTGGTGACTATAGCATTTCACAGTAAAAATAGTATGCTGAAAGGTATTCAATCATATTGAAGGAAAAACCAAAAACTGTAGCTTGCCAAAGATTTTTTGAACTGAAGGTAATGTTCAATTCCCTAGGTAAGCCAACAGATCCTAATTCAGCAGCATGGGCAGCCTATTATGCTCACTACTATCAACAGCAAGCACAGCCACCACCTGCAGCCCCACCTAGTGCACCACCAGCCACTCAGACAAATGGACAAGGTACCAAACTGCTTATATAACAGAATATGGTTTATATTTAAGAGCTATGATAGAATGCTTGGGGTATTTTCTTTGCAGTTATTGTCCATTTATAGAAATCTAACTTGAACTACAGTATACTTACATAGCAAATTTACATTCTCAATAATGGTCATGAACTCTTTTTTCCAAACATAAAAAGTGTAATTATTAGGTTTTGACCAGTTTAAATAAATGAACTTACGTTAACAGAAACAAAGATTTCTTCTTGCCTATCTGCTTGCACATTCAAGCACACATATTCATGCATGAAAGGTGTCTTTGGAAAGTCAGTGGGACCCTCCTGGGTTTGGCGCATGGGTTTCTGTGAATAGGGTAAATTATTCAGTGTCATGTAGAAGCTGATGAACACATGGGCAATTTCCTGCTCCTTTAGCAATCCCTATCCTATATTGCTCAGGAGATTCTATTTTAGGAATTTAAATGGCTACAATGAAGAAAGAGGTAATGTAAAACTTCCTTCAGTTAACTTGTGTTTCTGCTGCTCCCATTGCTTGTCATTGTTTGACCTTAGTAGTGAGACTGCTGCCACCGGGGAAAGGAAGGAAGGGGAGCTGTTCTTGCCCCCTTTGTAGCCACAGTGCAGGGGCATGCTGACTGTGCCTTTTCAGCCAGCTGTGCTGGTTTGGGCATTGGATTTGTGGGGGAGGGGGAGAAGGTTATACTTGAATTTAATTTTGCTATATATCATGTATTATGTTATTGAGTTAAGTATTCCTGTTTTGATTTCTGCATTGCTTTTGTAATTAATACTGTATTTTGTATTTGAATTTGTATTATTTCTCTTGTATTGTAAGCTGCCCAGATACTGGGCTATGGGCCAGCATACAAATGTAGTATTAATATCCAAGCCATTTAGTTAATTGGATCTAATCACTTTGTGGTACCTACTGATACCATGAGTGGAACAGCATACACCCTGCCATAGTATTCTGTTTGGTTGTGCTCTGCCCCTTCATTCATGTGGACAATTGAAGTTCAGGTACAAATGTGCAAGAACACTTAGCTACCACAAAGATTTATGGTGCATGCCAACAAGACAAACATAGGAGCAGATTGGTAGAAGTAATTTAGCAGAAGCATGGATGATGCTGAACAGGGGTTGGCAAATCGTGACAACATGGCTCTTAAACAAAATACCAATAGGTGATGATGAGGCATCCACTCAGGAACACTGCGCTAGCAGGTCAAGTAAATTGCAACATTGCAGGGAAAGAGTGGAACAAGCTTCCTGCAGGCTCTCATGTTACAGGAAACACTGCTGAAAAGATTCTCTTTGTCCCAATGTAATCTCCTTCCTCTGAATGATAAAAGCTGGGCTTGGGACCTATCACAATTCACAGCACTTGACTGTTTATCTGCTAATCAGTCACTAAACACACCTATATCTGCGACTTCCAATGGTAGGCCAACCATGGATAAATCGAAGAAAAGTTTCTGAAGAAAACCAAAGGTTTAATGATATGTGGGTAGATTAATTTGCTTTTACTGCTGACAAACTTATGGGGTTTGCTGTTTAATGCATGCAGCCCTTTAGCACTGACTTTGATTCTTCAGGAAGCTGTTCTCTATTCAAAATATATTAAAGGAGTCCTATTGGTTATAATGTAAGATTAAAAATAACAATTTTTAGTGACTGAACAAGAGCTGCAGCTAAATCGTAATGAAGATATACATAACACTGCATATATCGTTTTTTACCTTAATGCTGTCTTCATTTTAGATGTCAAAAGGGTTTTGCGGCTCCCAGTGTTTTTGTTTGTGTGGGAAATGGGTCCAAATGGCTCTTTGAGTGTTAAAGGTTGCAGACTCCTGATCTAGAAGAAACATTGCAGGAACTGCCCCTATTCTTATGCAAATCACTGGAAAAGAATGTTTATGTTGACTTGTATGGAGAAAAGGGATGGATAGCCTTTGGATGTGGGACACACAACTGCAGCTGTGCCTGAATCTATGCCAGAATCAAGATCCACTTCGGAAACATTGTTTTCAATGTTTTGTTTTTCTTATTGTTTGCAAAATACTTTGTAGTTGGCCCCGCAGATTCTTAGATTTCAAGTGATTGATGTGTGTAAATTCAAAATTTGGAACTGTGTTTCTGTATATGTATACACATACCCACAAATCCATTTTTCTTTTGGCTTCCTGTTCAATTAGGAGATCAGCCAAATCCTGCACCAACAGGGCAGGTAGATTACACCAAGGCATGGGAAGAGTACTATAAAAAAATGGGTACGTTTTACATTTTGTCTTGATTTATAAGGGTAATGTGTATTTTGCTTTTAACAAACTTTACTGTATCATGCACTTTTAAAACAAAAACATTGCAAAATCATGCAATAGGTGTAAGTGCTGCTTTTACTATGTTGCCTCTGGGAAGAATTTGGCAAACATCTCATGAATGCTTCTATTTTGTTGGGAAATCTCTATTTCATAGCCTTAGGTTTACACTCAGCATCTTGTAACTGTACTGTAGGAGTTATGTTGCAAGCATAGCTATTTTACATAGAGAGTAGAATAAACTGCATGGTAACCTGCCATGTTCTACCCCAGGGAGTACCTTGCTTTAGCCTAGTTTGTGGAGACAGCAGTATTGATTAAAAAAAACAAAAAAATGACTCTAATCCTCTCTATAATCTCAGATCCAACCGTCCTCCCACTGACCATACCCTTCCAACTAAGGGAAGTGGCAGTTACTTCACTTGATAGGTTCAGTTCTTACAAATAGTAACATGGTCCAGTTTGTCTTGCCAGAGATTAGTTGAGAGGGGATCCCTATTTTCCCAAATCTTAGTGCTTACTCATTCCAGATACACCAGGGGTAGGTGTCTTCAGTATTGGTATGGTTGAATATCATGTGGGAATTATATGGGAAAGGGAGAGGAACAACAGAAATGAGATAGAGAAGGTCTTGATCAACTGGAATTTCATAGACTGTGGCTCATAAAATCATGTCTTGAGATAGTTACTTTCAGTTTCCACTCTGATCGCAAAGTTAGTGTTTTTTGCTTGTCATTTTAGGATTTCAGAAATTATATTCTGTATCCAGCCCCATATATTTTAGTCATATGGCTGACCTAGGTATTCAAATGAAATAAACAAGTTCTTGATATAATCCTAGCCAGTTTTGTTCTGGTATTTGTGGGCTGAAGAGTATTCATTTATTAAAACTATACTAGAAACATGAGTCCTTGAACTGTTGCACTGTATGTCAGAGAAGGAAAATATAAATAGCATTCACAAGGACTACACCTTTTAGTACAATTCATTAAATGGTAGAATTGAGTCCTGGTTATTAAAGAACATTCTGAAACAGGGAATTGATAAAATGTTTCCAGTTAAAGGGATCCCAAGGAATGTTAAATTAATTAGCTGTGAATATAAATGTTTTATGAACAGATGAAGCCAGACAATTTATTGATTTTAGAATTAGTGCAACAGACATTAGTTTCACATAAATGAATCAAAGTTCAAAGACAACTATGTTGTCTGCGTTCCTTCTGTTAAGGATATATCCACTAAGGCCCACACACTGCCTTCTAAGTACAGTGGTACCTTGGCTCACAAACTTAATCCGTTCCACGACTCTGGTCGCAACCCAAATTGCATGGGTCCCCATAAGGTTCAATGTAAATAAGGATAATCTGTTCTGTAACTATTTTTTTAATCGCAAAAATTTGAAACAGAGAGCAACAAAGATCACGCCCCCCACCCCCCGAGCACAACTGCAGAGCACAACTGCAACCACACTCATCTTCCCTGCACAGGCACAACCGCAATCGCAGCCATTTCCTCCCCACGAGCATGACCACAGTCATACCTGATGCGGAGTTCATGACCTGAGGCAATTTTTTTCTGAAATTTCTGTCCACGACCCGATTTGGTCGTGAACTGAGGCGTTTGTGAACCGAGGTACCACTGTATTTGTATTCCATTACAGAAACTAGGACTTTTTTTCTATCAAAGCATGTGTATAATTGTGTCTTTGAATGAATATATAGCATAAGTCTTATTTGTGGCTGGCCATAGTACCCTTATGTTGCTTTTCTCTGTTTCTGCTGATACAAAATTGAATCCTGCTAGAGACAGTATAAATGATTTTGGATCCAGTGATCCTGTTAAGGAAATGGAAAGTACTCATCTTGAAGCAACCAGCTCTCTTTGGTGGTGTGTAGAGTGGTTGTTGCCATGCTGGCAATTGAGTGTTGTGGTGAAGAAGAGGTGACTTGCTATTCTCATGGCCAGTATGTAAACCTGTAAAACTACCCTCTTAGCAAGTTAGCAGAACAGTCTGCCTGGCTTGCACTTTTGCCGACTTATTTATAAAGCTTGCTTAGTAACTTCAAACATGGAGTTAACACAACAGGCACTTTGAGACTACTGTCTGGTTTGATGTTAAGGACTTCCAGAAAATACTGCTGCAGCAGTAGGATAGTTCCTTGTCTTTATCCATTTTTATAATTAAGTCTGTACTCATAATTGAAGTGTGTATTTACAATGAAAGTATTCCAGTTATACTTTACCAGGTTATAAAAATCCTCTGTTCAAATTTAAAGTGCATTAGTAGACCTCAGACATAACATGAAGAATATAACCATTTGATGCTAAGCTTCTTGCCTACCGTAAAGCTGATAGACCATTTTATGCATAATCTGAAGAACCAGTATGTTGGGTAGATAGGGCTTGGACTTTAGGTTGGCAGTGTTTGTAAATGAAACACTGGTGATTATCTCGCAGCCTAATCTGTTTTACAAGATTTGCTATTTGTATAAAAGGACAGTTCCATGTACCTCCAATCTATTTAGAGGATAGGAATGTATTTTGACATTCCTTTGGTTCCTTTTGCTACCATTGTTTAGAAAATGTGCTAGTAATAAGAACTGAGCTTTCATAGCTTCATAATTTAGAAAGGTGATGGAAGATCAAGGACATAATTTAAGGTTGTATATGATCATACGGTTTAGATATTTGTGGGGAGGATGACAATTATCTTCAGTGTTTTCTGGAATGTTTAAAAATTATGGAGTCATATTCCCTACAATTCAAGTGGTACTGCTTTCTCCTTTTAACATTAGGTAAGACTATAAAAATGCTAATTGCTTAATTTTAGTGTGCTAGTTTTAAAATATGTGATTTAACACATGTAAAATAAGTAGTGAGTTAATTTAAACAGCTCCATGGAGTCATTATATTTGAAAATTACTTAATTTGCTTCCTTCCTGTATTATTCTGTATGCTGCTACTAATATAGTAGTCATTGAAAAAGGAAGAGAAACATGATGATTACATTGTTTGACAGGGAAAGCATGTTTCAATTTTGAAGTCATGTTGGTAGAAGTGTTCCTACACAAATTTCATCAGTATTGCATGCTTCAGGGCTGGTTCCATCCTGTAGTGGAAAATGGGAGTGAATTTTATTTACACTTACCCAAAGGATAATTCAAGTTCAGGTATATTATGCAAAGTAATATCTTGGTTTTGTTTTAAATTCTGGGACAATTTATATAAGCACATATTGCAAAAACTTGGAGATTTAATATAATCTTTCTCTTTTATTTGCACTAAACTTCAGATAAAGCATCAAATAACTCTTCCAATGTATTCTTGTCTGTAATTGTGGTGTACCTGGGAGTTGTTTACATTAAAATGTGGGGGGTTTTTCAGGTCAACAAGGGCAGCCACAAGATTATTCAAAGGCTTGGGAGGAGTATTACAAGAAGCAAGGTAATGTTTGTTAGAAATGAGATTATTTTGAGCTTCTTTTGTCCCTTTTATGGCACCAGAGTTGTCTAATATATGTTTGTTCTAGGTCAGGCAGTTCCTGCTCCTACTGGAGCCCCACCAGCAGGTCAGCCAGATTATAGTGCAGCATGGGCTGAATACTATAGACAGCAAGCAGCCTATTATGCCCAGACAAGTCCACAAGGAATGCCACAGCATCCTCCAGCACCACAGGTATAACAATCTTGAATTATCTAGCTCGTGTTTCAGATTTCTTTCTTTCTTGTTGGGGGTGTGTTTGGTTTGGTTTTGGTTTCGGTTTTCCTTTTTCGCATGTCTCCCACTTTGATACCTTTCTGGAGTATGCATTATATTACTTGGCAAAGGGTTATTTATTAGTAAATGAATTCATGCTCTTTTAACTGGAGTTCTGTGTCTTTCTTTACATACATTCAGTGTGTTTGATCTAAAAATTTCTCCTCCCAGGGTTTTTGAAAGCCATGCAGGAAGCCCACCACCATTACATTAACCAATTTTTCTTTCTTAAAGGCTTCACTCCTGAGTTAGCACAATTTAAAAAAGATTTTCTTTAACTTTTTGTGTATTTCTTATGTATTTCTTCGCACAGGGCCAATAATAAGAAGTGGACAATACAGTATTTGCTTCATTATGTGGGGGAAAAAACCTTTGTTAAATGTATGGATGCAGACGCCTTGATGAAGATCATAATTTTGTTTGGTTTAAAAATAGTGTTTTTGAAAATGTACAAAATATCTATCACTACTGATAGGAGGTAATATTTCTGTGTAGAAATGGAAACTGGTTTGTTTTTAGTACATTAGTGTAGATGTACACATTCCAGCAAATGTATTTGCAACTATTATGTGGTCAATGCTTTGTGATATAAATGTACTTTTTCAATGTATACTTGATCACTTTTAAATGCCTGTTTTGTGCTTTACAATAAATAATATGAAACCTCCTGTGTCGGTAAGTTGGATATGTGGATAATTGGAAAATTCAAGGATTTGTTAGTAATACTGTACATGTACACAAGTAAGGTTACCCCTCCCCTTGAAAGTTTGGGCTTGACATTGGTATTCTCCCCTTGAAAAATAGTTATAGAAGGATCTCTTTTGTCCTTGTTTGCTGTTTAGCATCTTGGTATCTTCCTCGTTCTACTTGATTAAAAACTGCATGTATGTGAAGGTGTTTCTTGACATACGTCTACTGCATTAACAGTTGAAATTTCTTTTTTTTTTTTTTTATTCATGACCACTCTCTCAGACCCGTATAGCTGTATAGTTAATTTGTATTTATACGTGATTTAATTCTTCAGTATATTTTTCAGGCTTGTTGTTAAAATTAGTTACTTGAGAAGGCAAAAATGTGCTAAGCAATTAGCTTGCAGCACTTTGCTTCAGAATTCAGTGTAGTAAGGATGCTTTACTTTTTAGCTACCAAACTGCATTTGTCTTAGAAACATGCTTTTGGAGTCTGAGAGTGCCTAACAGAAAAACAACTTGCAGATGAGGAGGTCTGTTTTTAAATGCTAAAGACTAGTCATTAAGCTATATTTTGAAAAGTCTCCGTAAAAATTTTACTTCTAATACTTCATACTGAAAATTGATATTCTGATAAAATCCACTGTTTGCTTATTTGCATATATTAGATTACATGCAATACAGTCTGTCTTGCCATTGTCTGTTGAAGTGCAGGTTTGATCCAGCCAGTATAGAACTAGCTCTGTAGGGGTGAGGAGGACTGTGCTGTGTATCATCCTTGATTGTTCCTTCAAGGAGCATTGCACTGTAAGTACATCAGAATGACAAAATGATGAACTGCAACAGTATCTTTTTGTCAGTGTTCCACATAATGCAAATGCCATACCTGTGTGAATATTATGTTGGAATAAAATACAGTGCTAATATCTTAGAAAATCATAATTGCTTCTTAATTCAGAAAACTAGGTATGCATAAATATGCCTGTCTATGAGGTTTATGGGTAAGTATTCTTGAGACATCTAGCTTTAGCTAAAGAAATTGTCATTTACCCAAGTAACATTGTTCATTAGGGGTTCAGAAATGAGATAAATTCAGATGTAAACTTGTGCATTGTTAACGTTTAAAATGCTTGTCAGGAGGAAGTTGTTTTGTCTTCAGTTGTCTGCATATATTTGGTAATATAGGAATATGTTAAATTTACAAATCTTTATTAGCCTTATCTTTGGAAAACATTTTGTTGTTTTGGAGTATACACTTAGGGTGGCTACAAGAGAAGAATAAAATGAGGTCTGAATGAAGTAGTTTTACTGCACAGATAATTAGAAATGCATTTTGTTGTACTGTAGAATCAAGGAATTATTTTTATCCCAATGTAGGTTAGGATTTACATTTTGAAGACTGCTAGGTGGTTATTAAATCTGTGTAGAGTAGGCTATGTAGTTTCTTGATCAAATATTTTGCATGATTAGTCTGTAGTTTATTGGAGAATGGTGTAATTACTAACTAAACAGAACAAAAATTCACCAGATTCTTTATCATTCACCAAATGGAGGCTGTTGATTTTGATTCATTTAAAGTATAAAATCTTTATTAATTGCAAACAGTGCAATTATTTATACTTCACAGTGCCTTCCCAGACCTTCCACCTTAGGTTCTGCTGCAAAAAGCACAGGTAAGCACAACCTAAGGAAGTGTATAAATACATATTTCAGTATATTAATGTTGTCCCTGTGAGATTTTTTTTTGTGCTTGTGTATTCAAAAGCAATCTGCCAATATCTTTCCCCAAATGTATTGCTATTCATGGTTTCATTCCAATGGAAAGTCTGAAACAATTATTGACATTTCTGGGTAAATGTGTATCTTTATTTTTAAAACATTAGTGGATTGCTGCAATAATTTTTGAGTAAGTCACTTTTACTATTTTTCCCTCAATAGCTGAGTTGTTACAAATGAATATAAATTTTTTTTCAAGATACAGGAAATATTGGTCAGAACTTCAACAGCCTTCACAAATGCTTTAATAATGTTAAACAATGTTATACCCAATACTACTTATTCAAGAATACTTTGTGTTTCTCTCAATCCCATAATGAATCTAAGTTATACACCATAATACAAAATTAATCTAGCGTTCTTATTTCATACAGAAGGAAGACTTGAATTTTGCAGAATAGTTTTAGAAAGCATGTGTGCCAGTGAAATGTTAACAGTTTAGCAAATCTTTCTTTTTTATAGCAATATCCTTCCTACCTTGCTATTTCAGCTGAACTGCTGTATATTTTTGCCAGTTTAAAATGTTTTGTATATGGCTTAACGAGATAGTGTAACAGCTAGAATTTTTCAGTTCAGATAGACAAACTAAGGCAGTACCATCAGTTTTTTGTTTGTCACTTAATATAATGTTTTAATTTTATCAAAAGTCCTGTTTTTCTCTGCATCAAAGAAAAATATTCAAAAACCCTGCCTTCATTTTCACACACAGTGCTGAAGATGCTGCAAGCACCAAATCATAGCTCATAAAATCAGGTCCTGAGATAGTTACTTCCAATAAAGAGGATTCCTTTGAGTGTATGGCCATGGTGAGCCGATGAGCATGGACCATAGAAGGGCTCCATGTAGAAGGTAAAATTGGCAAAACAATACCGATTTTAAATGTATCCCATACATAATGGTGTAGGGTATAATTTGCCTGTTTTAATCGCTTCTCATTCTTTAAAGTGCTATTTGCCTGACCATAAATGTTCCATAATTTGTTATGTGGTAATAATACAGACCATCTATCAATTTACACTTTGCTAAATAGTCAAGCATAGATATGTTTTGCATTTCACAACTAAATTAATAGTTGTACTTGGATTCCCTTGAGCCACTTCATTTTTTTGTTATAGTTCAACATGTCAGATTTCATTTTTATATGAGTATTAGTTACATGCTGAGGAGTTTCATCTTGGTTGGATTTTGTTACACCATTTTAAAATAAAGCTTTTTTTTCTACTCCATTTTAGTCAAGGTAGCTTAAATTGAAATCAACATCAAGAACAAGGGATCTAATAGAAAAATGTTGGTGTAGGGAATAAGATGACCTGCTTTTAATAGTCATTATATTTCATTTTAAATTTGCTGGTGGACCTATAGGCATCTTCTTGCACTAAGTGTAGCTTTTCTGTTAAATTTGTGAGATTTCTTTGAAAGCATTGGGTTGGATTGAATGGTTTTGTTCCACTCATTGAGCTTGAACCTTTAGATCCAGTCTGTAGATGGTTAGTTTTCCTTGTGTAGTTCATTGCTATAGCAGAAAGAATAATTGTAAATTTTTAACAGAATATCCTAGGCAGAAGTGAGAGTAAATAATATTTTAAAATAAAATAACATCTTACTTTCAAGTCATAGTAATGTTTACAGATCATTCTTCAGTATGTATCCTGTATAGGATATGCTTTGCTAATTAAACAAAAGTAAGTGTTATCTAGATTTGTTGCATAGATTACACGAGTGATCTTAATAGCTAGGTAGTCTGTATCATTCACTAATCCTTTCTTTTAAAAATCAGCTGCTGAGAACTTTCTTTTCAAAAGTTTAATGTAGAGCTTCTAGTTTCTCTTTGTGTACTGGTGGTTCATAAAGTAAAATAATTGGGCTCTACTGAGTGCGTAGATTCACCTTTCGTACTGGTAGTAGCCTGTCAAACGTTCTGTTTATGCAATCTTTATCCTATATGCATGCAAGATGCATTTTCGTCCTGAGATAGTATTCTCTACAGAAACTACCCGTGTTAAAAAAAAGAAGACTTTCTTTTAAAGGCTACTGTGATGGGAAGTATCTTAGGGAGATGCAGCTTGGACGTGAGGTAAATCAAATGCTTTACCGTATGTTGTGTTGAGCTTGCAATATTGACTTTGTATGTACTCATGAATATGCATTAATTGTAATTTTTTTTGTATGAGTTCTCAATAAATGTAAACCAATGGGTAGTTACTTGTTTTTTGTATTATTTTCCCTGCAGTATTTCTAATACAAATATGAAGTGCAAGTGACACCTGTCTTTGTAAAGAAAAATACTCGGTTTTAGGAACAGAACGTATTTATTACTGTACCAAATTCAAAATACAGAATAGGAATTTGATACACTGTTACACTAAAGAAAAACGAGTCATCTCCTGGACACAACATAAAATTGAATTATTAGAACCAATAAATGTAGTATAAGCCCAAATCAAAGTGGAAGATTCTATATTCTATATTTCGTATCTTTTCATTCTGAGTTTCCAGTGCATATTTACTGGGGCTTAGCTGGTTACTGCTTATAGCAAACATCTACTGGTTTGTTCTAAGTATATTTATCAATCATATACATATAATCTTTTTCGTAAAATGATGTAGTGAGATGATTCAGTAGATAAGTTAGACAAGATGAGATACAAATTGAAAAATCATCCACTATCATGCTGACACCTTCAACCTGAATGATACAAATTTGGTTCAGTATTCCAGGCAAGATACTGGACAATTTCTGCCATCTAATATAAAATGTAAATGCTTGATTTCAAAGAACCTTGATTTACAACTTCATGTAGACTTGGTAATTACATAGTTCTGTTCGCAGTCTATTGTGAACTTTATTTAATTCTATTAATTCAGATTAAAAGGAAAACAAAGCATAATTTAAACTGCTGCATTAAGGTTTGGATACTGAATAGTTTAACCAAGAACATACTTTTGTTCATAAAGTTGCCAGGACCAGAGAGATGTAGAATGAAGTAATGGGTCTTTGGCTTTTCATATGGTTTGGGCCTAATTTCATACCTGAAAACAGTGAAATAAAGGTTACTCTCAGTAGCAAAATACATATGTAAAGTAGCCTATCATACACATCTGTTAATTTTTACCACTCTGATGCATACTTCGTTGTGGTGAAGAACTGCTGGAGCCATACGGCAAGCTGCTTTGCACACACAGCCTCGCTTGTCTGATGGAATATCATTACATGGAGCAATGCAGTGACATAAACAAGCAGCCACCAGGGTACATGTTTAAACTGAGCCACTGTAGTTAAATGAATCAAACTTCAGTTGTCAAAGTTCAGTCAAGCCAAGTGAGAATCAGACAAATGGGAAACTTATTTGAGGAATGATAGACAACTTCTTGTTGGCCCCACCATAGGAGTGAGATGGATGCAGTAAATTTAGAGAAGGAAGGTTCCAGAAAAAGTAGGATATTTAATAGTCATCAGCTAGAGAAGAGAAGAGAAAAGAGTTAAAAAAGAGATCAACAGACATGAACAAGAACTGAAGAGCTCAGAACTTGATAAAATATTAACTCTTACTTTCAATAGTGAGAATACAGGTGCTAGCTGATGTTCCTCTACAGTTTACTGCTTTACACATATATTCTCCTTCATCTTCTGGAAAAGTTTCTGGTAAGTAAAGACAGTATGTTTCGCCCCTTTCAATATACTGATAGTCCTCACAGTCCTGTAACATTTCCCCTTCAAACCACCATGTAACATCTGGCTTGGGTTCTCCAGTTATTTTAACAGTAAACCTTACTGGTTCACTATCAACAACAGATAAATTTTTAAGAGGTTTCTTGAACCATGGTGCACCAGACCGTGCTTGCTCTTCTTCATCTTCATAAACAGAACCATTAGCAATGCTCCCAACCTCCTCCTCCTCCTCTTCTTTTTTCTGCATTTAAAATAAAAATTAGGAAAACATGTTTTGCTCATCAGAGTAACTTCATATTTGGAATAAAACCTCTCATAGTACAGAAGCTATCAACTTTTCAAATTAATTCTGTGCCCACATGTTACACAGGGATAGCCCATTTTGTTCTTAACCTTCACATTAGCCCTCATACCTTTTGTAATGCTGCATCAATTTCCTTCTGTTCAAATTGCATGCGAAGCAATTTTTGTTCTTCAATCCTCCTCTGTTCCTCCTGTTCCCTTGCCTTTGCCATTTGTTCAAATCGAGCCTTCATGTTGACCTTGTGTGTAAATGGTGCTTCAGATTTTGTGGCTGGTTTTACATCCACTTCATCTTCCTGAAAAAGTGGAGTATTTTTTCAAATATTTTTTCTTCAAAGTAGGAAGGAATCATAGAAATTAAAAAGATTTCAGCTAAGATTGATCATATAAATGTGTGTGCTCAAGCCATCATTGAATGCTATGTGTGCCACTGTAAATGAATTAAGTATGTAACAAAATTTATGCTTCAGAACCAGTTGGTGGGAAGGTAGGGTTTAAATACAACAAAAAATGTCAAACTGGGACTTTGGAATAGTGGAAAACAACAAAAGGGCTTCTAAATAAAGTAGTGAACATAATTCAAAAACCGGAGGAGTAAAAAGGCACAGCACAAGTTGAAGCACATCTTACTTTCAATAATTTAGAACATGGGTATACAGATACTGCCCTGTACACCAAGTTCTATATGTGCATTCTCTCTATTATCAGAAACCAAGGAAAATATGAAGACACAATACATTTTACTTGAATCAATGGGAATATATAAACCTTGGCTGAATCTATTACAAAATTTGGTAGGAAGGGAAAAACATGTTACAAATAGGGTGTGAAAAGTGGACAAGGGTACTTGTGAAGTGGAGGAGGTCCCAGTTTCATGTATCTCTACTAAAAAATATTTGTGTGGTTAAAATGACTGGACAGCATTTACAAGAGGTAAGTAAGCCTGAGGATGCTGAGAATAATCTTACATGCCTTAAAAAATTGACTGTGAAGAGAGAGACTGAAAGTTCCTTAATAGGAAGTTATCAGAAGTTTTGACTTGCCAAAATACCCACTGTGTACACTTGGTGCAGTCTTCATGCACTGAGTGTACATACATGTCTATAATATATGAAAGCACTGAAGTAAATTAGGAGAAATGTTCTCCATAGACTTTCTAGCCAACTGCAACATTCTTGGTATGGTGGCTTGAAAAGAATGGAGTGTAACTGAGAAAAGGCTTCTCCCTGGTTTTGGAGGTACAGCAGGACCCCTGTACACACTGGTTCAGTTACTGCATTTTCACTTAACAGTGGTCTGAAAGAGAAGCCGTAAAGTGCTTCCTTTCAGTGAAAATTCTTGATTTAATAGGAAAAGAAAAAAATTGCATGCTAAGGTTGTTATGGTATATAGCAGTGATGGCGAACATTTTAGAGACCAAGTGCCCAAACTGCAACCCAAAACCCAGTGATTTATTGCAAAGTGCCAACACTGCAATGAAACCTGAATACTGCGGTTTTAGTTTAGAAAAAACTCACAGCCAGTCCAAGTAAATAGGTTTGCCACCACTGGTATATAGTAATAATGAATCTTCTATCCATGAAATGGTGAAAAAAGATGTACATGTACAGTATATAGTGTTTGCTATTATCTGTGTTTTCAGGCATCTGCTAGGAGGCTCGAAACCCATCCCTCCAGATGGAGGGGTCCTACTGTGTAATGCAGATTTTTTACATATAGAATAACTTTGTTTGCACAAAATGGTGACAAATTGTGGGTTATTTAACTCATTTGTGTGGATGTATGGTGTCTGGCTTTTTTTTTCTGTAACACATTCGCTGAAGATGAGCTTGATTGGAGACTGAGCATTATGTACAAACCCAGACCAATGGGTGGTTTAGGGGCTGAGCAAATCGGTCTGGGTTTACAGAAAATAGAAGCCACTTACATTCTTACAAATAATGGTTTAAGTAAACCATGATATGCTGCTGTGATAAGCACAGAGCTATTTTGCACAGATCTATGTATATCAGCCAAGCCCAAAAGACTGGTTTATTTCAGGGTAAGATAGTACTAAGTTTTTAGAAGGCAAGCTTGCAATTGTTGTTGCTGTATATGGAAAAAGAAGGGGTAAGCCCATTAAAATGATAAAATGAATATATACAGGTAGTTGCCCTCCAAGTGCAAGCAGCAACAAAATGAAAAACAAAGCTGCTCTGAATACATTCATACATCGAAACACAAAGACATATGCATAGAGGCTGTACCATCAGAAATTAAAGATTAAAACAAAGATGATAGCTGAATTTGAGGCTTCATTGCCCTGCCAAAGTGCTGATTTAGAGATTTGTGAACTGCTGCCTTGATCCAACTTGATATTTCTATCTGTAATATCTCAAATCTGCAAAGGAATCTTCATTGGCCTCCCTAAAAATAAACCATAGTTGATTTCATCATGATCAAAATTTAACAAGATTTAAAATTGTGTCAGGGGAGATGATTGAAAATTTATCCCAGTATGTCCAGAAATATACATACGTAGGGACAGATCTGCATAACAGACTTCTTAGCAATGCAGCTTTTGAAGTTGCCAGAAATACATCATCCAAAACTGAACAGTTCACTGAATTTCTCTGTACTTGAATCAGAACTATACAAGCTGAGATCACTTGATTGTATTTCAAGCAAAAACTGCCTTTTAACAAGGTCCAGTTTTGTATTTACAACCCAATTTCTTCCAGATGAGAACAGACACAGAATGGGGAGTAGACACAGAGCAGGTGTTCATTCTAAGTGGCGTTTGCTCTCCTAGCCTCTAGCCAAAAGTGCCAAAGTAAGTTAAAGAATATCTGGCATGGTTCGTGCCTTATGATAACACTGTTGGATAAAGGATGTTTGTGAATTTCTGCACTTCAGCACAAAATGCTGAAATTTCAAGTAGAAGCATTTCATAAATATTCCTGAGTTTAAAAGAAACTGTAAGATAGTGTGCACAATTGAAACTTGCCTAATTTAAAAGTACTATATTAACTTTCGTTGAATTTATTTTGTTTTTGTGACTCATCAAACATGTCAAATGCTAAATATTACAGCATTTCATCTATCAGATATTAAATATCACTAAATATTACTGAATACTGAATGCCCTTATAGGTCAACCTGAAACTGAAATCAACCTATTTTGGAATATCAGATCTAATACTTTCACATACCTGGTAAACATATATTTGACAAAGCACAAAGTTCAAATTGAACATTTGAATTTACACGCATCCATGTGTTCCTGAAAGGGAGGGGAGGGGCAAGGCAGGGCAGGAACAGGAACCCTAATTCATGGCTTATAAATTGATACAGTTTACAACAGCTCTACTGACCTGCTCCAATCTAGAAACAAGTTTCTCCTAGTTTCCAGAATAATTTTTTAGATAAACGAATGCTTTGTAGCACAAGTAGTGGATCCCACAAGCACAATAGAATCAGTGTATGTGGGGCAACCCCAGTTGAATCTTTCCTATTCCCACAGGCAATTTGAACTGCATATTGACACATCCTGCAGCTCATTTAAGTCACTATCCAAAATAATGCCCATAACCATCCAAACTCGGGATTATTGATATACAATTGAGCATTGTAGGGTAGGATTGCCTCCACAGTTCTGCCTGGCAAAAGATATAGAAGGTTTATTTCAATTATTTTGCCTCTGCTCAGAAGGATTCCTTATATCCTGCTGGAACCTCTTCCCTTCTATGCTCCCACAATACACACACCGCTAGGCAGCCAGAGACCATTGGAATGTGTCCTTAGATTCATAGCAAGAATTTCCATGCCACTCTTAATTCCATTTTCACCATGGATATTACCATAGTAATGTTGCACTATAAATTAGGACTTAGCAACACAGACCTTTGTGTACAGTTTCTCATGTATATAGTAGCTGCCAGGCTTGACATGCATTTTAAAATTACATAGGAACTTTATTAGGTTCCTGAGTTTATTTTATGTGTTAAATTTGTGTCCCACATTTCTGCCAAGCCGTCCACGAGGGGTTAGCTTTTTAATTCAAATCTATTGCAGCAGCACAAGTAGACAATGCATGATCCCTTTCTTCTTTATGGTCAATTAAAAAAAAGTTTAGTGGACAAGGCTCACTTAAACTTTTGTTAAAGGGTTCAGGATATGGCCATGAAGGGGATGGCCATATAGCAAGACTTAATAAATCACAGGAACCTCATAGCTTTAGTTTTTCGAAATAGTTTATGTTTGAAGGTTCAGGATTCTTACCTAACTATCATTCTGCACACTTGCTAGATATCGAAGACTGGCACCAAGCCAGTTACAGTGACAAAGCACCAGTAAGTCCTTAAAACAATATGGTTGACAAATCAAGTTAAGGTACCAAGATGGACACCATTAAGGGCACAATCCTGACATTGTCAGGGGAGGAAGTCATAGGGTTATGAAAATCTTGTAGCTGAAACTCTGAGCCTCCACTGTCCCCTTGCAGCTGCCATAGATAGAATCACTCCCCCAAGGTCACAGATGTACTTTGGAGGGAAGAAAAAGTGCTGTGCTGGGAGCAGGAGGGGAGGATGAAAACTTACCTATCAGTTACCCAGCTTCTTCCCATTCCTAGTGCTTTATTTAGACATCCAAAAAGGGCCACCTAGATAAAAACTAGGGCATGAGGTACACTGGGGATTGCCACTACGACACCTCGTTTGAGGCATGCTATGAAGGTTAGCCTCCAAGTTTGGAGGCTTTCTTGCATTAAGGGCAAGGGGTGCTAGGATTGTGGCCTAAACAGATTAATGTTAAAATATGCTAAATGTTAATTTTTAATATATTTAATATTTAAATGTTAAATACTAGGTGTTAATGTTAAAAATGTTGCATCTAAAACATATGTCATAATATACAAACGCAGAATTGTAATGTTAAAATGTTACAATAATATAAAAAGATTCGATTTGTTCTTTCACAGTTTTATATGGTCTTCTGACAAAGATGAACAGTTGAAACATATTTGATTCATTTGGAGTTATACTACATATTCTCATGAGTATCCTTGTATGTTTTAACATCACAGTTAAAAGATGTACTCTGCCAGTTAGGTAGCATTTACAAGTGATACAGGTTAAGCTACTGCTTTCTCAAAAGGAGCATCTACAACATTGTTAAGACTTTTTCCAGGGGCGGAATGCATTCTGCAGCAACATCTAAAATGGCATTGCAATAACCATAATTGGAATTGTATGATACAAGAGCTCAGCCTGCATTGCTTCCTACAATTGGTAGTTGTCTCATGCAAACCCAAACCAATTCCCACAGGACAGCTTTTTGAGGGCAGTAGTCACTCTAACAACCTGTAGCTTGTTCTAAGGATTGCTGTACCCTTGCTGTACCCTTACTGTTGTGCCATCCAAGCTTGGGCAACAGACCACCAACTGGCTGAGTATGTGTCCCAGTCCAAGAAAACTCACGGTCCTCTCAATACCCATTCAGAAAGAGACCCAAAAAAGGGGGTGGGATGCATTTTTGCACTAAGCAGCTAGAATTTGGGGGGAAGTGTAACGTGTCCATTGCCCTAAACAATGCCTGGGGAAAAGAGTAAGGATCTTACTACAAAGGGAGTGTAAATCACACCACCTGCTTTTTACAAATGGAAAACAAACAAAAAAATGGAAGAGGGAAAAAAGACATGGTGAATAAAATATAGCTTATGATCATGTCTGGGAGTAGTGGGGGATACAAGTCAGGCCTGCCACAAAAGAGCATCCCCAGTGAGTAACATTTCCTGGCCCTGCAATTGCTATACTGCAACATTCCCACTGTGTTATAAGATCCAGCTATGGAAAATCAGTAACTATATGAAGACACTACACTGAAGCACTATTTGTATGAACCTGTCCAGAGGGCTGTAGGTTCTGTGGTGGCAAGACCTACGCTCCTAAAACCTGCACATGAAAAATGGCTGCATTATGTGAGACATGATGATACCAAGCAGCAGGAAGCTGTAAGTCTAGAATACACTGACAGAGCTATCATTGACTAAATAGCAGCACAATTTTCTCCATAGTCATTACAAAACATACCTCTTGAAATTTCTCTGCTTCTCTTTCTTTTATTTCCTCGTCCACAGCTCTCCTCCTTGCTCTTTCTTCTTCAATTTTTTTTTGTATTTCTTCTTTAGATAACTCCCCAATTTTTTCAAACTTTTTCTTCAAATTCTTTGCCTGAATCGAACCACTTCTTTTTAATTTTATTAACTCTTCATATTCTCTGCTTAACCCAAAGTTTTCACATTCCTCCTCTTCCTATTAAAGGAAATAACATCGCAAAAATACTTTCAGTTTAACAGGTACTACAGTTTAACAGGTACTACAGTAACCATGTTTGTGTCTTATTTCCTAGTTAAGAAACTGTTGATTATGTAAATTACATTAATTTGAGTATGCATGGCTCTGTAACATCCTGCCTCCTTATTTTCAAGCCAAGTTGGCTTCTAACTCTCACCCGGATCCAGAGTTGTCCGTTCTGTGGACAAAGGAGAGACTTTTATCCAGTGGAAGTTTCCACTGGGAAAAGAGGAGACATGATTCCCTTTACAGTTCTCAGCACCATTTCCCAGGCCGTTCTGGAGAATCCCCTGACCAATCAGAGCAGATTGGTGGCGGACTGTGGGGGGGGGGGGGGGGCATCAGCAAGAGTTGCATCATCCCCATTCTGCCAGCAGTAACATCCTGTGGATGTTCTGCACACAGGAACCTTTAACCGTTGCTTGAATCCAACAGTATTCTTCTGCCAGTAAGAAAAAAAGAATACTGGCAGAAGGAATTTCCCTTAGCTCATCCTCCATGCTCCCCCCAAATCTGCTCCAGAGCTCTGCTCATGTGATGTTGGATTTATGCTCAAGCTTGCAATATTCAGGATGTAGGAACAAACATATAAACTATAAATGCTTTTGCCATCCCATGGTTTATTTCAAGAAACAGACAATTTTGGAAAGAATATCCCAGGAACTAAGTAATGACAGACCTCTCCCATTTCTTGTCTAAGCTGTTCAAATTCTTGCTTTTCCATTTCTAGTTTTTGCCTGCGCTCTTCTTCTGTGCGTCTCTTTTCTTCTTCCTGTTTTTGTCTCAATAGCTCTTCAAAATTAATTTCCAGTTTTCCAGGTGTGAGAAATTCTTGAGATACAGTTTTTGACATCAGTGAAAGCTCATCATCTGGGGCCTGTTAGGAATAAGTTACCATTCAGCACCAGTAGTAGATAGGTGTGATATGTTTATCTTGTCTCTGTGTTGGCCACAAACACTAAGATATCATAAGATCATAGCTTAACAGATTTGGAGTAACTTTTTGTTTGTGTATTCAGTCCCTTCACCCAAGCAGTCAAACAAGAAAGTCAACTAACTATAATTTTGCATTTTGCCTGGATAGACAACAGTTAACAGACTTGGAACAAGCCAGAAAACTAAACTGTGGTTTGAAGTTGGTTTAATACCCTGGTTTGTTCCAAAGCTGTTAAAAACAAACAGTGAAACTATAATTAATTGAAGACTTCCTGGTTTCATTGTCCACATCTCAGTTCATTAGGCAGAAACTCATTTCAACCCAATCATTATTTCATACTTGTAAATAATTTTTATTGAAATTAAGGGAACATGTCCCTCATCTTCACCTTAGTACACACTGAAAAGTTTTGTTTTTTCACTTCAGCAGACCAGACTGCTATACCTAAGTTGCTGCTCGACTGTGAAAATGCAACTTTTAAGACAATCTGGGAGACCCACAGAACAACTTGACAACTGAGATGCAGGGGGCTACATGGGAATTAAGTGAAGATTGCTTCTCTTACTCCTCTCCACCCACCCATTCGGACAAATCCCCATAGATCCCTACTGGATTTATGATACTTCAGTTCACAGAATTACAAATCTAGATCCAAGCCTGTGGGTATATGTTTTGGAGTGCTGTTTTTCTGCATATCTACCAGTTTGTCCTTAACTGTGTATGCAGTACCATGAAGGTGTTTCCCATGTAGAATTTGGTGGAAGTGAGAACATATGTGAAAGATTTATCATGAGAGTAAGGAAGCAACATCCTTTACCATGCTTTTTCTTGCTTCAGCAAAAGCCTTTTTCTCTTCCTCTATACGCCTTCTGGCCTCCTCCTCAGTTCTTCTTTTTTCTTCTTCTTGCCTCTGTCTTTCTAATTCCTCAAAGGTAAGTATAAGTTTTCCAGGATGGAACTCCTTGGCAGAATTTTCATCATCATCATCATTATCATTATCGGCCTTAAGGAAAAACATAAATTTTTAAAGATTTTAAAGGATAACTTATAGATGCAGCTAATTAGGGAGCAATTGAACTTGAAAAATTCCTAAGAAAAAAAATTTCAGAATTTTTTAAAAATGTACATATACAGGTAGATTTATTTACCACTAAATATCATGTAAAGTTACAGAATAAAAAATACAATTCATGTATAATAAAACATGAATGACAAAGTGTTACCATGTCCTATATCAATACAATAGCAGTGCAGTAACCACTACTTCGGAATCTAACATTTCAGATGCCTGGGTATTTATATTAGCTGAAGCTACCAGGAGGGCCAGTTTTACCAAAAAAGAGTGTATGGTGGTGGGGGTAGTGATCCTGGCTTTGCCATATGCAAGCTGAAGAGCTCCTGTTGTTTACAGAGGCTTTTGCAACAGCAGAAGGACCCCAGTGATAGAAAAGGAGACAGAAAAATTTTACTCCCTTCTCTTGCAACCATCACCTCCCACACTGATCCAGAGGATTCCCCAAACCTGAAGAGCATAGCTTTGGAGGATGCAAGAGACTTTGCAGGAACGGAGGAAATCAACAAAATGTCATTATTCAACAAAATAAGATATTCCGCTACCCAAATACGATCTAACATACCTCTGTATGCTTACCATTTTTTGTCTTGCTTCTTCGAAGGCACGCTTTTCCTCTTCGAGACGTAGCCTTGCCTCCTCTTCAGCTTGCCTCCTCTGGTTTTCTTGTCTTTGTCTTTCCAGTTCTTCAAATGTCAACTTCACTTTACCAGGAGAGGAAGAATCTTTTCTTTCACTGCCAAAGCTTTCATCTTCTTCCTACATATAAAATTTATTCCTCAGATGTAACCTTCATGAAATTAATAGCTACAGACTTTAAATCTCAGCTCTTCATGCAGACCTGAACCCAGTTTCTTGGAGGCACATTTCAGTGGCGCCTACTTGCCAGTAAACATGCTTATGATAATCATGCAAGTGTGCGTGTTTTCGATTTTGCTTACCACATCTGGTGAAAAATATTTGACTTCCCTGAGAGCATGCTTTTCCTGCTCATATCTCAATCGTTTTTCTTCTTGAAGCTTTCGCCTTTCTTGTTCTTCTCTTTCTCTCTCTAGGTCCTCAAAACTTATTTTCATCCTCCCAGGTGCTTTATTAGGTTTTACAGGAACTACTGTCACTAGTAATGACTCATCACCTTCCTGTTGTTAAAAACAAATGTTGCCATGAACAGTGCAGCTACTGTGAATGAAATGTCCACTTTCTTGAACAATGGATGGACAAAATCAATGGCCGTAGGGGAACAAAGCCATCTTCCACTTGTGAGATAGCCTCTAGACAGCAAGCAAACATCAGAGAAACATGTTGTTCCAGCCCTGGGTATAGCTGCTGGCAAGAATAAAAATCTTGGTCACATGTTATGTTTGTCTAATTCTTGTGAAGGTTCAACAAGGGGATGGATACAGACATGCTCTTCTATAAACAGAAGGGTGCCTTCCATTTGCAAACAGGGACTCTGATGCAGTGCATACTCCTGAAGGAGGAAGTGGAGAAATTATCTTTGACCACACTTCCTTTTCCCTGTAGCACAATGTGTCCCTAAAAAGTCTCTTAAAGGGGGACTGCAAGGGAGAGGCAGTATCAGTCAAAATGGCATCTTCCCTCACTTTCATCTACCAAAGCATCTCATGAGCAGAACTTTGCAGAGAGAAAAACTGGATCACACCCAATGTATATGAAGCTGTTTGTAATCCTTACAACAACCCTGTAAGGTAGGTCATTGTTCTTAATATATTGCCAATGAAGAGGTTGAGAGACTGCCTTCCATAACCCATTAAGTGCATGGCAGAGGTGAGATTAAAGCCAGAAACGATTTCATTTTTAGAACATGCAAAATCCCAAATCTACAACTAGGTAATACCTTTATTAGGACCAACCAAACAGCTAAAAACAATTGTGCAAATTCTCCAGAATTTTTCAACAAGCCAGGCAGAGGATAGAGGGTGGGACAGAAAAGTGCAAAAATTAGATCAGAATAGAGACTCAATTCCAAAATGATGGAAATAAACTTTTACTCTGTTAGATAGGCACCTGCCAAGCATTTCACAACCCTCATTCACTTATTCATAGACAAGTGTGGTTATCCTGTTGTGAACCACTCTGAGAGCTTCAGCTATGGGCAGTGTAGAAATGTAAGATGACATCATCATCATCATCATCCTCCTCCTCCTCCTCCTCCTCCTCCTCCTCTTTGTTTTTTATGTTTCTCATTTTAAAACACACCTGGTAGTTAGTATTACACCACACCAGTTTACACAAATGTGATTACGGAAAGTATCTGTTTTAAAAAGTCCCTAGCCTATTGAATAACAAAATATTATACGATATATATCCTATTTTGGCATGACAAGAAGTTAAAAATGCTAACTCCAGCAAGAGCCTGGTGTGTGCTCCGAGGCTGTCCCATTCCCTTTGCTTGCACCATTGCTTTAAAGCTGTGACACCCATTCTCCCCACCCCTACCCTGAAATAGGGAATCTTACTGAAACATCTTTAGTGAGTTATCTGGTCCTCTGTAGTTATTGAGTAGAAAAACTATCCCTTTGTAAATGTGTAAAAGGTTTTAAGTTTACTTTGCCTTTGCAAGAGATAAGAGAAATTTATAATTTAAAATATTAAATTGGGTGCCCACTTAATCAAGCTGACCTGCAAAATTGTATTTCAAATGAATAAAGCAGTTACTTTGGAGAAAAGAAAAAAACTTTTCTTCTCAAATTTAGCACCTTCTGGTAAAAACCCAGGCACTGGTATGCTGATTACTCAACACTAAAGTTGACAGGAATCATCTTAATTAGGTTGACATCTCTTCAATAGACGTTTACCTGTACTAATTCAAGTATTAAAAACAAATAATAAAAATTATGTCCAAATGCTATCCCTTTTCCAAACACTTATATCAGCATATTTCATGAAATTTTTGAAAGGTTTACCTCAGGATTCCCTGACCAAATGTGGTGGGCACATTTGGGACTTTGAGAGAATACTGTAGGGACTTTCACAAAATGGTTGCCATAGAAGTGTTTGCCCTTTTATAAAATGGCTTTCATAGTGGACACAGACAGCCATAGAACACTCATTCTTTGTCGTGGCCTCTGTGCATCACACATATGGGTGCTGCGCCAGCACAGTGCCTAGGCTGGAAAGATTGAAAGCTAATGGTTTTTGGCGGGAAAACACTCCGCTCCCCTCCCCCTCCACAGTATATATAGAGCGAAGTGCCCGCCATTTTGTTCAGTCTTTGTGACCGCTGTTCACTGTGCCTCGTGCCTTTTGTCTCTCGCTTTGACCTCAGTATTTGCTATTTTATTCTTATTGTTCTTGCTGCTCTTCATTACTATTACTCCAAGTTATTATTCCCTTGTTATTTCTTCTCCCTTTTTTCTTTGTCTTTACTAAAAAATCAAAAACAAAAATATTATCTTATCCCTCTTTACTATCCTGTTTCTTCTCTTTCTACGATAGCACAGCGGGCGGCTTTCCGCAAATGTGCAGAATGTGGGTCCAAAATGTCCCAGCAGACCCTCATGATTTGTGCCTCCTCTGCCTCGGTGAGGGGCACAGGACAGATAAGTGTCACCATTGCCTTGCTTTTACCAAGCATGCCTGCAAGAATAGGGAGAATCGTTTGTGAATACTCCTATGGGATCTAGCGCTGATGCAGTTGGACCAGCCCGCTGCAAAGCCTGGGCCTGCTCGTGCTCCATCCGCCAAGCGCCTGGCTTCTGCCTCGACTGCATCCGGCCAGCGATCGGCTACTGCTTCAGCCACGCCTGGCCAACGCCCTACGACCACACCACCCATGCCTCAGCCGCACCCATCGGATGATGGAAATTCACCCTCCGGGGCCCAACAATCCCCTTCTCCTCCGCGTAAACAGTGGGAAAAGAGGAAGCATGGAGGGTCGAATCACTCATCTTCCCACAAAAAGGCTAAGAAAGATAAAGCAGCCAAAACAGCTCATAAGCCTAAGAGGCATCAGGATTTGGGTTCATCAGCTCCATCGATCCCGACGGCGGCATCGGTACCAACACCATTGGTACCAATGCTACAGGCGGCAATGCAGGTTACCCCACCGGGATCTCTGGTGCAACCTGCTCCTCAACAGGGCCAGCCCATTGATCGGCCTGAGGAACCTCACCACAAGTCTATCTCAGATGGAGAGATTCAAGACTCCCCTCCCATGGCTCGATCACCGACTCCAATGCCTCCAACTAGAGCTCGGGATCCATCTTTCGCCTCTTCACCACCACCTCGATCCCATATGGACGAAAGACGCGAGGAGGGATGGTTCCGGCCATATGATGATTATCCATCTGGCTGGGGTGATTACCACTCCCTTGGATTTCATACCCATCCAAGAGATCATTCACCACCTTCTGCCCACAAGGATATGCCGTCCACCTCAAGACGTGTGGAACCTGAACGTCCCACCTCACCAGGGAGTTCTTCCTCAGACCTGTACCATCTCCGGCCTGACTCCGACTCTAAGGCAGATTCCACCTCCCCTGATGTGGCGATAACATCCCAGGGCCAGCATCACCAGATGAGCCCCACATCTCTTTCGGAGAGCTCATGTCTAGACTTGCTCAGTCTCTTGAGATCGAGGCGCAACACCAGCCAGATCCGAGCACCGACAAGTTCTATGACATTGTCAGGGGAGAGCAGTCACCCGCAATCGTCCTGCTGCTAATTACAACGCTGCGGCAGGTGATGACTCAACCGTGGGACCTACCCTCGCAGATACAGCCCACCATATGAAGATATGAGTCTATGTATCGCATCCAGGAGGGCGACATACCCTTTTTGCTCCACCACCCCAAGCCAAATTCCGTAGTCGTGGAATCATCTCAAGGCAGAGAATCCAGGGGACATACCACCCCCTGGGATAAAGAACAGTGCAAAATTGATACCTTGGCATGCCGGGTCTACGCGGCCGCTGGACTTGGCCTTCGTATGTCCAATTACAAAGCCACCTTGGTCAGGTATCAGTTTTTTATTATGCAAAGGCTAAACAATGTCATTGCCTCCCTGCCAGAACTACAACAGGATTTGGCTAGGACCTTCATCAAAGAGGGTATGCAGGTGGCCATCCAACAATTGTCCACAGCTCGCCACCACGTGAATACGGATTCGAGAGCTCTAGTCGGGGCCATTTAGCTGCAGAGGCATGCCTGGCCGAGGAATTGTAACTTCCCTGATGAGATGAAAATGTGCATAGAAGAAATGCCCTTTGATGGCTCCGGTCTTTTCCATTCTCGAACGGACCATAAACTCAAAGCCATACATGAATCCCGCATGACGGCAAGAAGGATGGAACTATCAGGACAGCAAAAACGTACGTGGGCTTGGTCACGTCCATCTTATCAGTACCAACCTCCGCAGAGACAATACCAGCAGCGGCAACAACGTAGAAGGCAACAACCCCACCAGCGTTTTCAACAGGGTCGTTGTCGCTTTGAAAATGAAAAGCGTCAACGCTGATGGGACGGGTGAACCTCTCCTTCACCTCAATACCCACCTTTCCCTCTCCCTTTTGGGGAACGACTGCAAGGCTGACTCCCCATCTGGGAGTCCATCACATCTGATCAGTGGGTCTTATCCATCATCCAGCTTGGATACAGAATAGAATGTGAAACTGTCCCGCTGTCGAGCCCGATTCGCTTTACACAGCAATCCCCGGTATTAGTGGACGAAGTACATCAACTGCTTCATAAGGGTACGATTCGATGACTCTCCAACTCCAAGGGGCTTCACGTATTCTGTTCTAGATATTTTACGGTCCCTAAATGGGATGGTGGTCTTCGTCCAATCTTGGACCTCCGAAATATCAACAAATTTATCAAACCAAAGAAATTTTGGATGACTACCCTTCAAAATATCTTGCCACTGCTGAGGAGAGGATTGGTTCGCCTCACTGGATCTGAAAGATGCTTACTTCCACATTTCAATCCAGCCATGTCATAGACGTCTTCTGCGTTTCACCGTCGGGACCGACTTATACGAATTCAATGTCCTCCCATTCAGCTTAGCTACCACTCCAAGGGTCTTCACGAAATGTATGGCCCCAGTGTGTGCACACCTACGGCTCCAGAGCATCTAGGTGTATCCTTACCTGGATGACTGTCTGATAGTCTCGGCTGTC